ATTCTGTTGGTTACAAGCAGGCTAGCTACTCAAGGGGAGGGGATTACATAGACCATGAATACCAAGAAGCAGCAATCACTGGTCTATCTTTTATCTGCCTGCTACTGCCACATAGAAGAACTCTACTCTCTCTCACACAGAATGATCCTTCTAATACTTGCAAATAATTTTCATGACTTGCATGTCTTTTTGTCTTGGGCTACACCCAAGTGGGTACCCTCACCATCCCAGCCACTGTCCTCAGAACTTGTTTTGGTGTTTATCTCAAAGTGCGGCTCCTAAACTCAGTGCAGTCTTTTGCCTGGAAGTGACCAGGGTGGATTGGGACCTCCTGGGAGCACAAGAACTGAGAGGCACACAGCTCTTCCTGCTAATTAGGGCTTGATTTCAAAAATAGAAGTTCTAGGAGTCCAGGTCTCTCACTGGGGAAGAGTTTTGGTGTCAGTGCACTGACTTCCAATTAACAGTCCCATTAATGTTTTGGAGCAAACATTCCAGAGATCTTTGAGTATTATGCATTTTTTTAATATGAAATACATGAGCTGGAAAAATGAAGATTTCCCTCTCCTTCCGTACCCCCTCCCCAACAATCTAGTGAATGGTTTACTCTTATGGCATCTATAAACAAATTCATTTTTTTCCTCTCTAGAGTATTGAACAAATAGAACAACTTTTCATGAAAATAGACTATGAAGCAGTGGGCAGAATTCAGTGAGTAAGCTTGGTTATGTTTTTTGAATCAAATTTGAAGTTAGTGAGGAAATGTGTAAAATGTTTGGTTCTGAGTCTGTTCCTTTCTGGGGTATGCTTTGTCCCTCAGTACCTTTGCCAGCTTCAAGTAGAACCACGGGGACATACATGTTCACAATTTTCAAGTTCTTGTAAAGTCAGGTTACACTTGGAATAGTTTAACTAGGGATTTCAGTAGCTAAGGCAAGTCCCAAGAAGGGTATCCTAAAACCAGGGAATGAAGGCTGCATCCGCTGCCTTACCCAAATGCAAAAGTGAAACATCAGTGAGCAAGCGACGCCTGACGATAATCAGGTCAGTTAACACAGGTGAAGTGTTAGATCAGGGACCGTCACAGAGTAAATTCTCAACAAATATTGTCATCATCATCACTATTGATATTCCTCAATTTGGGTTGCACAATAATGAGGAGCTGAGACATCTGCTTTTCACGTTCTTTGCCATCATGTCTGTCAGTGTCCTTCCCTTGTTCTAAGATGAATTAAGTTCTAAAATTACAAGTCAAGCAGTAAGACACCTCTTTTCAGACCTTGGGCCAATTCCTCAACCAAATCAAATACAAGTGTTTTCATTGTCGTCTGACTTGAAAGGGAGCAGTCAGGATTCCAGGGAAGATAAGGGAAGACTCTAGTGAGGTGGGGCTTTGGGGGAAGTGGAGAGAAAATGGAAAGGTTCCCAGGCCCATGGCAGCCCCACCTCTTCCCTCTGACCACAGGTATACTTTCCTAGGTATGCTGCTGAAATTCTAAATGAGGCAAAGATCCTGGTGGGTAGGAACCGTGGAATCAGACCAGTGAGGACTCAAGTCTCTGGTCAGCCACTTAACTAGTTGTTTGATCTTAGGCATGAGTTTCTCAATCTGTACAATGAGTAGAACAACAGTACCGACCCCATACAATGATTGCAAGAAGTGAAATGAAGGTCCACATTGCATGGAACGTGGTATGCTCTCAATCATCATCATCATCGTTAGGGAGAGAGACTGGGACGGCAAGGGAGCCCAGCTCCTGGGTGGAAGACTTCCAACCCCAGCAGAACAGGGACAAACGTGTTAGCCCTGACTTTTGGCATCCAAGTTCACACTCACGAACTAGTTCTTACTAATAATTATGTCGTGTCCAGGAAAGGACTATCCGTGCCATGATGTTGCAGAGAATTTTTGAAAGCCAGAAAGACGTTTAATGGATTTTCCTTTATTCTCCAGGATGGCTTCTGCACATATCTGCAGCTAGCGTATTCAGAGCAAGCTGATGCTTTCACCCGACAGAAAGAGGTTTCCTTCTAGCTGCCTGCTGTGCTGCAGGGGCTGTCGTACGGGGGTCCCGTGCTGCGCATTCTCTATATGCCTGACGACACCTTAATCATGATCAGAGAAGATGGAGCGATTTATTTCTGGTCCTTGCAGCTGAAGTTGAAAAAAAGAAAGTGGGTTTTTGTATGTGATTTTCATTTGATAAGGATGCTGAGTGCTCTAGTTTGATTTTATTTGCTATTTTAAACTGCTCCTCAAGTGGCATGATTACAGAAATTGTATCCTTGAATGTAATATATTCATGTTGGATTTTGCTAGTCTATGGAATGCAAATAAACTATGATCTCTATATGTAGTACAAGAGAATGCTTCATTTTGCTTCTAAAATCAGATGGAGTGATGAATTACACGTGATTCCATCATGTAATTTATCATACGTCTTAATGAATGACAAATGGGAAAGAATTTTCCATTTTTTCCCTGTTAATAGCTATTTCAGTTTGGGTAGCTGTGCTAGGGTTTCTCTTCAGAGAACTTATTGATTAACAGAACTGGAAATTCCAAAGGCAACAAGCATGTGGAAGTACACTTTGGATAGGAATAATAATACCTGACCCCATTCCAGAATGTATTCTGTCTTTAAAGTCGCTCCTTTATTATCTCATTCGACAAAGAGTTGGGCCCCTGTCATCGCCCAGGCTCTGTGCCGCATGCTGGGGATACAGACACCCATCTCCGCCCTCAGGAAACTTCTCATCTACACGAGAAGCTACAGCTATCTTAAACCTTGAGGCTGCTGAATAAGCCCTCCCTGAAAGAGAGCATAAAGTCGGCTCTGCAAATCTCTGTAGCAAGTTCTCTATACTTGAAGGCAAAAGTCAACTAAAGAAAACTCTATCAGGTTAAGCATGTCTAGATTATGGACAAGAATGGCTTGAGACAACTGAAATTGCCTTATCATTGAAAGGGTATATTTTTGTTCATTTCCACCCTTCAACCCCTTAGGGCAAGTCCGTCGGTCGGAAGCCCAGGTGGGTGACGATGTCACGAGCATGATCAAACTGATCGTAGGGACTGGGTGAGTCCTGCAGCTCTTGAACCAGGAAGTGAACCATCACTGTGTTATGAAATTCATTTCCACGAGTGAGTTTACACGGACACATACGCATTTGTGGTATGAGAATAAAGTTATGAAGCTCTTTTATAGAACTCATCTATCAGTCAAGGCTACTGTGCAAAGTTATCCCTTTGTTTGGCTTATCGCAGTGAGGTTGTCATTGCTCAAACACACATGGGGGCTCTCTTTTGGAATGTTTCCAGAGAGAACGTAGGGGCCAGATGAGAAAAAGATCCATCTTTTTACCTTTTAGGACACTTTATTTTAGATTCAAAATAATATTCCTATTTTATTATCCACCAAAATTCAGTCCAAAGTGCTTTGGACTGATTCAAAATATAAAATCCACAGTGAAAAGATTATACTCACTGCTGAAGAGCCTCAGAAGAATGGATCTCAGGCTGGGAAGGAAGATCCTGAAGGTTTTGATCAATGGCAACATAATGATAATGAATATGCAGCACCCTGGCCAGCTTGATTCGCCTCAGCAGCGGGTCAGGGTGAAAAGGGTGTGACTCAGTGGGAAAGAAATTTGAAAAGTTCAAATCAAGATTGAAGCAAAAGCAAGTTCAATACTGGGGGAGGGTAAACTGAGATGGAGAGGGGAGGTCGAGGCCGAGGAATTAGGCTGCTTAGCGTTGAACTCTGGGGGCGTGGCTAAGGGAAGGGGCGGAGCTTGAAGGGGGTTCCCACAGCCCCGCCTACTGTGGCTGCCCCTTGACCACTCCTAAGCCCAGACCTAAGGGTTCTCTCCTCTCCTAATGGTCTCCTCCAGCAGTCCTTGGTTCCTAGGCTGCAACCACTTTAATGAAGAAATAGTTAATTCATCCAGGCTATTAAATAAAATTAAATTTAATGCTGTTTAATTATTAAAATATATTTATTAACATATTATTTTTAATAATAATTGTATTAATATGTTAATATATACTAATTAATATTAACTATTAAAAAGCAACAAATTTGGGTTTATAAATTCAGCCCAGTTTGATTTTTAAAAGTATGCTCAGTAACTTTAATTATCATGTCTTTTACACACATAGAAATTCAGAGATTGAAATAGTAACTTATTAGGGACTCCCTGAGCTGACAAATCAGAAGATGAGTCAAGGTACATGGCAGTTGAAGGCAGGAACCACTCTGGAGCTGCAAGGCAGGGGGAAAGGAAGCAGGAAAAAGACACTCACTGCTGAGGGAAAGGCAGGGTCTGGAGCTGAGTGACACCTGTGGGTTCCGTGTAAGCAAGCGGAAGCAGGAAGTTGTATTTCTTACACCCACAAGCTTGTTCTCTCAGTCAGCTCGAAGGTAGACAAGCTACCACAGGAGGGAAGGGGTCAAGGGTGGAGGATAGGAAGGTGGGAAATTAGGGGAGCACTGAGTTAACCCGCTAGTGTATGGAAAGAGGCCTCAGCCCTCTTTGCAGATCTAATCACGTTTATTACCAGCAGCAAACGACAGTTCTGAGCCCTTCAAACGTCCCAGCCAATCACTTTCTCACCCGTCCTCTCCTTTTATCCTGTAACTCTCCTGTGAGACAGGAATGCCACGATCCCCATGTTACAGACAAAGGAACTAGGGGGTGAGCTGGGATCTGATGCCCCACCTCCTGGCATCCAGAGCCCATGTTGGTGAAAATGGTGCCAGCCTCCTGATGGAGAGGGCCGGGCCCCATGGCCAGTTTAGAACCAGGCAGAAGGTGTGTTCCCAAAGGGTGGAACTGGCCAGGGAAACCTCAGGCTCAGCTATGGGGAGTCCTCAGCAGGGCAGGCGTTTCACTGGTCATGTGTCTCTGTTAGGAGGACCCCATGGAATATAAAAAATGTTCTCCAAAGCAAAGTGGGGAGTTAAAGTTTACTCCACGCGTGCTTGGTCTTTGGACAGAAACCGTGAACTCCAGCTGTACGAACTCTCCAACTTGGAGCCCTCCTGTCAGATCGGCGGCCTGGAAGCTGTCCCTCTGAAACTGGACTACTGGTAAGAGCCTCTCCAGGGCTGGCCTCGCGCGGGCGCCTCTCCCCGGAGCCACGGAACCCTCCTCCCCTCTCCTTGGGTGGTTATGTTCGGTCGTGTTCAGTCAGTAAGCCTCGGGGCTTCCATGCAGCCTGTGACGACCATGTTGCACGTTGCGGTAGTGCCCAGGAAGGAGGGACCTTCCTGCGCATGTCTGTTGAGGAAAGGGAAGCCCAGAGAGATGAAATAATTTTTAGTCATGTGATTATGAATTAATCTGTGTGTTAAATGTGGCTGGATTAATTTTCCTGACACTCAATTCTGACCATGTTACGCTGCTTTTTAATAGTTGCCCACCCCTTTCAGATGGCATCCGACCCCCTCTGCCTTTCCAGCCTTTGTCCCCACTCAGCCTTCAGATTCCTCAAGCACCAACCTAATTAAACAGAGACCTCACAACTCGGGCCAGGAGCTGGCACCCACACTGCTCCCGATGCTGCTCCTCCATACCCTCCATACCACACTGTGTGTTGGGAGCCTACTGTGCGCCCCATGATTTTGGTCAGGGGGACACATGTGAATGAGACATGGTTCGCAGCGGCTCTCACAGTCCCCCAGAGCAGCTGTCCTGCTGAAATCCTACCATTCTCTACTGCGCACGTGTTACCTCTGTGGAGTCCCTGACTTTCCTTCATTCCCAGATTCCAATGTCCCCTAGAAGCGTCGGGCCTTTGGCTGTGGTGGCCCTACGTGTGTCACTGGGGCAGAGTCCTGAGCAGCTGGCGGGCAGCACCAGCACCTCAGTCTTTGCTGTGTGCTCTCTGGCACCTACGTGCCCACTGGCACAGTGTGGCTCTCAGGAAACATTTGTTGAATGACCAAGTCAGAAATCTCTTATGTAAGGGGGCGAAAGGAGGATCCAGTTTTATTTTACCTCTTCCTTTTTCTTGCTGCTCAACAATTTCAGTAAAATAGATCTTTCATTCAGTTCTCTTCTACCAATCATTTTGTATATTGAGAAACATAGAGAAAAGTTGATGGTGTCGACCAAGGAAAAATCACCACAATTTAAACAGCAGATGTTTATCTGGGCGATTAGAATTGCAATTTGGGAGACACAGATTCGGGCAGAAACCCAAAACGTGTTCTGATTACAAGAAAGGGGCTTAGGATTTATATGGCGAAAAGGGAGGATGAGGTGAGTTGTGTTAAAGAAAGACCATTGGTGCTGGATGAGGTAAGGCTAGGTTTGTACCTCAATGATTGGCTTGAGATTCAGTCATCAAGCGAAGTCCAGTTTTATCAGTCCTTACAAATAGGATGTTCTTTTTTAAAAAAATTATTTTATTGAGGGGCTGGCCCTGTGGCCAAGTGGTTGGGTTCGCGCGCTCCGCTGCAGGCGGCCCAGTGTTTCGTTGGTTTAGGTCCTGGGCGCGGACATGGCACTGCTCATCAAGCCACGCTGGGGCAGCGTCCCACATGCCACAACTAGAAGGACCCACAACGAAGAATGTACAACTATGTACCGGGGGGCTTTGGGGAGAAAAAGGAAAAAATAAAATCTTTAAAAAAAATTATTTTATTGAGGTCATATTTGCTTATAACATTGTGTAAATTTCACGTGTACATTATTATATGTCAGTTTCTGTATAGACTGCTTGCCACCAATAGTCTAGTTTTTATCCATCACGATACATATGTCTCCCTACCCCTTTAGCCTCCCCTGACCCCCGTCCCCTCTGGTGACCACCCATTTGTTCTCTGTATCTATGTGATTGTTTATCTTCCACATATGAGTGAAATCATGTGATATTTGTCTTTCTCTGTCTGATTTATTTCACTTAGCATAATACCCTCAAGGTCTGTCCATATTGTTGTAAATGGCACAATTTTGTCTTTTTTGTGTCTGAGTAATATTCCATTGTGTGTGTGTGTATATATATATATATATATATATATATACCACATCTTCTTTATCCATTCATCCATTAATGGGCACTTCGGTTGCTTCCACATCTTGGCTTTGTGAATAATGCTGCAATGAACATAAGAATGCAAAAATCTTTTTGAATTATTGATTTCATGTTCTTTGGATAAATAGCCAGTAGTGGGACAGCTGGATCATATGGTATTCCTATTTTAATTTTTTGAGAACTTGCCGTACTGTTTTCCATAATGGCTGCCCCAGTTTGCATTCCCACTAGCAGTGTATGAGGGTTGCCTTTTCTCTAACACTCGTTGTTTCTTGTCTTGATAATTATAGCCATCCTGATAAGTGCGAGGTGGTATCTCATTGTGGTTTTGATTTGCATTTCCCTAATATTAGTGATGTTGAACATCTTTTCATGTGCCTGTTGGCCACCTACAAACAGGATATTCTTGTCCTTACTGACTTGGAATGTTGGTGGTTTGGTCCAGTTTGGAAGATAAAGGAAACAAGACATGCAAGTGAATTCCCCTGAAATGGCTGCTCCGACTCTATTTTAATATGGTTCCACTCATGTCATCTTTCATGATGGATTTAGAAGGAAGTGACTGAAAGGCAAACTTGTCACCAAGTGGGTTCTCATAGAACAAAGCAAGGCAGAGATAACCAGACTTGCTCTGCTCTTCCCTGCGCCCCCTTGCACAAGGCAGAATCATCCCTCTGGTGCCGTCACAGCCCGCCCAGTGGACAGCTCCTCCCCAGCACTGTCAGAAGCCCCACTGCTTTCCCCTCAGCGGGGTCCAACCACCCTCCACGAAGAGGGCCTGGGGTGGTGCCAGAACCTTTCCCTGTGTTAAGGGGGCCCAGGCGCCCAGCCTGATGCAGTGAGGGCAGCGCATTATTGAGTTGTAGGATTGATTGCCTTTTACTCAAGACATCTTGGACAGTTTCCTGAAAATGATAGATTGTCTTATCACTGCTTTCAAGAAAGGCCACTGTGCTGAGAAAAGAAAGAAGACACCTCTGGGAGAACTCACGCTTGCCCAGCAAAGCCAGTGCAGCTCAGCCCCACTGTGCTTGCCTCTTGCCTCCCCCATCCCCGGACCAGACACCAGCAGCCAGCAGCTGGGGGAGCTGGGATCGTCTGGGGCCAGCTCGGGGACTCTGGGGAAGGCAGGACATTTTAGTGGACTCACATCTCAGCCTCTTAGCTCATCTCTGGGGACCTGGGAAAGTTATGTCTTCATTCTCAACCTCAGGTGACTCATCTGGAAAATGGAGATGATAAGACTTACCTTAGGGGCTGTGGGGAAGATGAGATGGCCTGCCATAGACCAAGGAAGGCCCTAACACAGTGCTCAACAGAGCTGGGGCTCCACATACCTCAATCTCTTTCTCTTCTAATTCCGATGTGCTGTGAGCCACATGCACAATGCTTGGTGGCTTTCAGGGCTTCTGTCCCCTCACCATGGCCTCAAAGCTCTTCGTACACCCTCCCGTTCCACCCTCTCCCTGACTCTCCAGCACCAGCCTCTCTGGCCTCATTCAGCTCCTCAGACTTGCCCAGTAGTTTCTTATTTTAGGGCCTTTGCACATGCTATTCCCTCTGCCTGAAAGATCATACCCATCTCCCCCTCCACCTTTCCCTGCAGATCTTGATTTAAATCTCACTTCCTCTGACAGTCCTTTCCTAATGGCCTTAGCTAATTATGTCCCTATGGACTCTGCTCATTTTCTTTATTGCACTCATCACCAGCTATGAATATAGATAGTGAATTCTTTATCTGTTGACTGTCACTGGGCTGGGAGGGCAGGAACTACATCTGTTTTGATCCCCACTGTAAGCCTAGCACCTACCACAGGGTGTGGCACATAACAGCTCCTTAATACTTACAAAAAATGAATAAACAATTAAAAACTTGAACTCTGAAGTTAAATCTTGCTAGGATTCCTGGCAGGTTGTCTGAACTCTTTGTGCCTCGGTTTCCTCATCTGTAAAATTGGTAAATAAAAGCAATACCCATCTCATTGGGTTGTTGGGAGGATTTCATGAGATAATACTTGTCAAGTACTCGTCTGGCACACAGAAAAAGGGGTCCATAAGTGCTGGTTTCCCTTATTATCATGGTGAGATGAACTCTTGACAGTGGAGGGCTGAATGGAGAGCACCCCGAATTAATAAAGGTTCTAGGGACACTGTGGTCCCAGGAAATCCTGAGGCTCTGGTTCTGCCCCATCTCCTGGGGCTTGGGGCTGGATATGTGTGTGTGTGTGTTTGTGTGTGTGTGTGTGAGGGGCTCCTTGCTATGGGCTAGAGATTCAGGGGTTGAATACACAGGACTCTCAGCCACAGAATGGTGAATGTGAATGTGTCAGTCTGCTCATGCTGCCATAACAAAATGCCACAGACCAATGGCTTAAACAACAGAAATTTACTTTCTCACAGTTCTGGGGCTGGGATGTCCAAGATCAAGGTGTGGCCCATTCTGTTTCTGATGAAGTCTCTCTTCTTGGCTTGCAGATGGCCACCTTCTCTCTGTGTCCTCACTTGGCCTTTGCTTGGTGGGGATGCATCGAGAGGGAGAGAGCTCTCTGTGTCTCTTCTTGTAAGAACATTAATCCTATCCTGACAAACCCACCCTTATGACCTCATCTAACCCTAATCATCTCCCAAAGGCCCCGTCTCTAAATACCATTACATTGGGGTTAGGGTTTTAACACATGAATTTTGGGGGGTCACAAACATGTGGTCCAACAGTGAATATTTACTGACTTGGTTCAGGCACTCTAACCCTGTCATTCCTCCCTTACTGAGGGGGTCATCAGGGATGGAGCCAATAGTATTGGCCATGCACCAGTCCCATCAACCAACGAGACTGGTTGTTGATGATGTCATTCTCTGAGAGCCCCTCCTCTGCTGGAGGAATGTCCCAAGAGACTAGGAGTGAGGTTCAGGATGCTTTTCTTCCCCGATGTGGAGATTAGTTTTCTCTTTCTTTCATTCACCTTCTGATGTTTAGCTTCTAGACACACCCAACAGAAAACCAATTTGAAATAGCACTTATAACCCATTATAAGCTCCACAGACTGGGCAGGT